TATGCATGATCCTTGAAAATATGATGCTAAGTGAAAGAAGCCAGACATGAACAAATATCGTATGCTCCCATATATAAGAAATGCCTAAGGGTGGCAATATAGCTCAGCAGTGCTGTGCCTGCCTGGCAAGCACTAGGTCCTGAGTTCGATCCCCGGTACTGAGGGAGAAAAAAAAAAAAATGCCTAAAAATAGGCTGCCAAGGGTTGGAGGTAGGGAGGAAAAAAGAGTTATTGCTTAATAGGTTTAGAATATTTCTGTCTGGGGTAATGAAAAAGTTATGGAAATATTTGATAGTGGCAATGGTTGCACATATTGTGAATGTACTTAAAGCCATTGAACTGTCCACTTAAAAATGGTTAAAATGAGGGGCTGGGAATTTAGCTCAGTGGTGCCTTGCCTGCCTCACAAGCACAAGGTCCTGAGTTCGATCCCTAGTACCAAAACAACAAAAAAAAGTTAAAATGAGCTATGTGTATGGTGATACACACCTATAATTCCAGCATTCCTGGAAGCCGAGGCACAAGGATCATAACTTCAAAATTATTTATTTTATGGGCCAGGGATTTAGCTCAGTGGTTCCAGTGCCTGCCTTGCAAGTGCAAGGTCCTGAGTTCGATCCCCGGTACCAAAAAAAAAAAAAAAATACAGTTCTGCATAAAGCAACATCACCATGCACAGTGTGCTCTTATTTTCCCATACTGACTTTTTTGTTATATTTTTGTAATCATTCAGGTTTACTGATGGTCAGTATGTAGGTCAGTTTTGGTTTGAAATTTTTTCTCGTCATTCTTTTTTTTTTTGGGTACCAGGGATCGAACTTGGGATCTTCTGCTTGTGAGGCAGGCAGCAGAACCACTGAGCTAAATCCCCAGCCCTTTTCTCGTCATTCTTTTTTTGTTTGTTTGTTTTTGTTTTTGTTTTTTTTTTGGTACCAGGGATCGAACTCAGGTCCTTGCACTTGCAAGGCAAGCAACAGAACCACTGAGCTAAATCCCCGGCCCCTCGTCATTTTTAATAAAAGGTTTTAAGGGAATGTAATGGTAAATTCCTTTAAAAAAAAAAATTATTATTATTTTTTTTTGGTACCGGGAATCAAACTCTGGACCTTGCACTTGCAAGGCAGGCGGCAGAACCACTGAGCTAAATCCCCGGCCCTTCAAAATTACTTTAAATTGCCCACCTTGGGCAATTTAGCGATTTGAGGAAACCCAACCTCAAAATAAAAGGGCTGAGGATGAAGCTCAGTGTGAAGCTCCTGAATGCAATTCCCAGTATCACAAAGGAAAGAGACAAAATCACACTAAAAATGGTTAAAACAGTAGATTTTAAATGTACTATATCACAATTTCTAAAAAACTAATAATGTAGGGGCTGTGGTGGAGCACTGTGTTAGAGCACTGGCTAGCATGCATGAGGCCCCAGTTTAATTCCCAGCACTGTCTGTCTTCCAAAAGCAGTATGCATGAAATCATTGAACTGTACACTTAAATGGGTGAATTACATGGTATGCAAACTATAACTCAGCAAATCTGTTTATCATTTCCTTTAGGGGCCACTGCAATGAGAGGAAGAAAATAGACAGGTTAAAGTGACCTAGAAGGGCTCGCGACATGAAGACACTAGGTGGGGTCTCCCATGACGCATGAGTGCACAACAGCCTGTGAGCTACCACCCCTACTGATCTCACAGTCTCCTGAGGCAGGCAGAGCCATTAGCCCAACTTTATACAGATTAATTATGCTGCAATTAATCTTGTAATCCTAGCACCCAGGAGTCTGGGGCAGGAGGACTGTCGTGAGTTCAAGGTCAGCCTGGGCTACATAGTGAGTTCTAGGCCAGCCTAAACTACACAGTGAGACCCTGTCTCAATTAAAAAAAACAAAAGCCTAGTGTGGTGGCGCACACCTGTAATCCCAGCACTTGTGAGGCTGAGGCAGGAGGACTTCCAAGAGTTCAAGGACACCCTGGGGCACACAGTGAGTTCATTCAAACCTAGCCTGAACTACATAGCAAGACCCTGCCTCAAACCCCAAAAGCAAAACAAAACAAATACAAAATTAAAAAATACATGGAAAGAAACTGAAGCTAAGGGTGACCTGACTCACCCAGGTGGCAGGATCAGCAGATGCACAGTGCCTCCTCATGGCTAGTGAAGTCAGTGGCAGCAGCTTTGGGGGCGCTCTGTGATAGATCCGCACCATGCAAACCAAGGGAACAATGGAAGGACTATGCCCCACATTAAGTTTAGCCCAACGATGGACAGCACTGGTGAAGGTGATGCTTGGTGATGGGCAGGGAGACCAGGAAGCAGCTGTGCAGAGGGCTTGGGGAGTCTGTGGCCAGCTGAGAGGGCAAGGGCAGGGAGGCCCTGTGACTCAGCGACTGCCAGGAGCTGAAACCTAACACTCAGCCCAGGCCAGCTCAGGACAGGGCCTGAGCACCGAAACTCATGGGGCACATGCTTGCTTATAGACTGGCTGTGGGCAGCACAGGCACTGCTACACTGAGCACATAGTTTTATTTTGGGGTGGTTTTTTTTGGTACTAGGGATCGAACTCAGGACCCTGCGCCTGCAAGGCAGGCAGTGGAACCACTGAGCCAAACCCCCAGCCCTTGGTTTTGGTCTTGCTATGTAGTCCACGCTGGCCATAAGCTCACTACGTAGCTTCAAATTTATATAAATCCTCCTGCCTCAGCGTCCCAAGTGTTGTGATTACAGGCATATGCCACCATGACCAGCTACTGAGCACACAGTTTTAAATGTGCCCAGAAGGTACAGCCCTGCCCAGAGCTAATCAGGCAGGTGGCTATTTCCAGTGCTGGAGCTTTCTGTGGGGTCAGAAAGCAGAAAAGCACTACAAACATGTTGGGGGCATGCAGAAGAGACAGGGGCAGCCTGAAGGGCCTCTTCGAGGCCAAATGCATGCAGTGTGAGTGCTGAGATGAGAGCCCTCCTGGACATGTGCACAAGGTTGCAGAGATGGAACAATCTGGCACACCAGAAACATCAAGTGCTGTCAAGACCAGTGGGCATAGGTAGGATTCTCCAGAGGCTCTGAGAATCTCCCACAAAAGACGTATAATTGGGAAGGAGTCATGGAGAGGTATAGCTGGTGTCACATCCATCAAGTGACAGAGGTGAGCTGGTAGTTAACTGCCAGTAGTCGAAGGAAAGGACAGGGTGCCACATCTGCCATTTGCCACTGGAACTTCGAGGACACACATGCCCCCAGAGTGTCCTGCAGTCACCAATCTGACCTGAAGACCAGGGGGCTCAGGACAGCTGGCCAGGCTGGGGCTGGCCATTTGGCAGAGGCTGACCTCTGAGCTACAGGGCCTAGAACAGCCTCATGGCCCCCAGAATGGGAAGGCGCGTAGATTTACTCCCAGCCTAAATTATTCAAAAGAAAAGAGAATACACCTCTTTAACAAGCCATGGCTTTATGAAGCAAGGTTAACAATTTCACTTGATTCAGTGGAATATTATAAACTCTCTGGGGCCCATTTGAGGACTTCTACTTCAGGCACAAGGTGACGACTCAGCATTTTTTATATTATTTAGAGAATAAAATTAACCCTCACAGGCCCAGGCTGCTGCCTCCCCTCCCGCTGGATCTGGCCGGCTCAGCGCTTTCCCCATATATAATTACAAGCTGCTATCCATCATGCAGCAGCGACGCAGCGCTGACACGTGGAAAGGGACACAGTAAGCACTTCCACTAATAGAAGCAGGACTTAAATATCGCTTTGATATTTTCATTTAAATTGGAATATTTTACAATAATCATCTATGCCCTCCATGGGCTCCTGCCCCAAGCTCGGCCAGGGTCTGGAGCTGCCCAACCAGGCCCACTTTCAGGAGGGGCTTTTCTGCCAGGCCTGGTGCCCTTCAAGGTGACCGCCAGCTCTGGTAGGCCCCATACTTCCAGCAGCCAGTGACAGTGCAACAACAGAGTCAGGGCTGGCTCCCAGCACCTTCAGCCTCAGTGTGTGCCCCGGAAGGGGGCGCCAGGGCTACATTGGCAGGTGGGTGGATTAAGAGAGGAGGCGGGGTAAAAGCAACCAAATATAGAGGACTATGTCCAGAGAGGGTATAGTACTGCTTCCGGGTGGTCTTGACAGTGTGAAGCCAATGAAAGAGGGGCTGGTGTTCCTGGCCACCTCAGCTTCACCGGGGATTGCACCTCTGGTCTGCAGGCCTGAGGCAGGGCTAACCTCCCTAAGCCTTTGCAGATTAAGGGGCAGCAGTGAGCTGACCATAGGCCGCCAAGATAGGCTCATTCTCATCCTAGGGACCTGCCCCAGGGCAGAAGCACAGGTGTGAGGGATGGTAGGAAGAGGGTTCTGCAGGGCCTGGCCCCCAGGACGGTCATGAAGGAAAGGTTGTGCTTGCTCAGCTGTGGGGAACTTCCCACAGCAGCACCTGATCAACAGGTGAGATGGCACGTGGGACAAGAGGGCAAGTCAGTTGTACCTTGAGCACGGGGTAGCCCTCTTGTTTGAGGCCCTAAAACCCTACCTGGCCCTGGGTGCTTCCAGTGGGCTCTAGCTGCTGCACAGGACACCCCTGGCCTTGGTCTGGCTCCTCTGTTTCAGGTAAGTGGGAGTGGGGCTTATGCCCACCCACCACCTGCAATCTCAAGGAAGCCACTGGCTCCGCACCCATCCACAGCCCCGTGACTCCCAAGATCTCTGATGTCCCCTTCACTCCACAGTAGTCTCCTGGAGATGCTGCTGGCCCAGCCACCACAGCTCTCCCCCAACTCACTGTACTCACTTGATGCTCTGACATAGGTCCTCTCAGATTCACTTTCCCTTGGTTCACAATCCACCCTGCCCTCGTGCTGGGTGACCCTGTGCAAGTTGCTATACCTCTGTATTACCCGTGAGGTGGATGTAACGACAGTGACCACGTCAGGGCTGTGGAAGAGCCATAAGATCACCATAGAAGATGCTTGGGAGTGTTGAAGAAGACACCTGCCCACTCACAGCCCCTCACCTTGGCACCCAGCGGGCAGTAGCCTTTGAGGAAGTCACTGCAGACCTCGGCCTTGCGGGACACGTACACATGGCTGTAGGGGCAGTTGCTGTTGTTGCAAATTCCCTTCAGGAAGTAGGAGCACACGGGCATCTGTGAGGAGGGAGGTTAACAGTGAGAAAAGTGGACCTTACTCCAGTGTTCACACTGCCCCACAAATAGGAACACGGGGACTCAAAGGCCCCATCCAGGGCCACATGGCTGGGTGTCAGCCACAAAGACCCTGCCTGGAGACCCTCACCATGGCCCTCTCAACAAATGAACACACCGTGCTGGCCAGCAGAAGCTGAGGGCAGGGGCTGCTGCACATCCAGGTGACCAGGACATCTGCCCTCACTCTTCCCAGACAAGGACACTACAACTGAATGGCCTGTAGTAGGGCCTTGGATCCAGGTGGGCAGTGCTGGGGTGCCTCACCTTCTCTGAGCCTGCCTAGTGTCTGGGCTGGGAGCTGAGGTGAGACAGCTGTTGGGAGCCCTCAGGCCATGGGTCCAAGGTATGTGATGTACCTTGGGGCTGGACACGTAGCCAAGGGGTCTGTAGTCACCTGACACATGTGCCTTGGAGCAGGTCAGGTCTGGCACTGACTACAGGGTCAGCAGGAAGGGCCTGAGGAGACCTAGGTGCCTAGGCAGTGTGTGATCCACCCTTGCTGCTACTGACAGGAATGGGCAGGTGCATGGCCCAGGAGCTTGATGCCCCCTTTCATTTAGAGTACAGAGGCAGGTGACTGGGGCTGTGGTCACCACTTGTTATCACCCTCTGGGCACACAGAAGAGACACAACACCTGCCCCTCCCAAGCTGGGCAAAACTGAGGCCTAAGAAGTAGGCACTGGGCCAGGACCACCAGGAAAAGGAAAAAAGCAGAGCCAGGGCATGTGTGTTTGTGGGGGGATTGGTCTACATTTTCCAGGTGACTTATCTTCCTGCTTCTCCAGTGGGCTAGCCCCTTCTCCTTGCAGGGCTGCCTGGGGAGTGGGCCAGTATCATTGTCCTGGCTCAGCATGGGTCAACAAGTAGCCTGCAGGGGGCCTCCCCTGCAGTCCCTCCTGCTGTGTCTTATGTCAGACCCGAGTCTCTCAGGTTCCAGGTGGCCACACTATGGCTCCTGCCCGGCTGAGGGCTGCTCAGCCTAGAAGGCCAACAGCAGGCAGGATGAGCCCTCTGGGGGGTCCTAGAACCAAGAGGCTGTAAAAAGTCACTTTTCTGGAGTGAAGAGGGGGAAGGGAGAGGAAGGACCCTGTCTGAGGGAGGAGAGGCCATGCAGGAGCCCTGAAGCTGAGAGGAAAGGAGGGAGAAATCAAAGAAACAAAGGGTGATTTACTGAGCAAGAGTTTATTTTTAATTGTCTTTTAACTGCAGCCGCAGAGGGGAGAGGGGCTGGGGGCCCCCGTTTGGGGCTGGCAGTAGTACGGCTGTAGACAATTCCCTTAATGTGGTTTTTGATATAGAGCCCAAATTAGCTCTAATAAAAAGGGATAATAAAGCCAACTCTTACACCAAACGGAGCTCCTCCTGGCTGTCAGAGCGGGGCCGTTACCAAGAGGAAACTGCGTTCTCATTTCAATTAACCTTGTTTGCACCCTACCACGTCCACACAAATAACAATAACATTAATTCAGGGCGCTGGTGCGGGCCTACATATCAGACAGCTTGGAGTGTGTGCCAGCTTTGGAGCTGGTGCTTAATGAACCCGAAACTCGACGTGAATTTCCAAATTGCTCACAACAGAGTTTCGAAGCTCGATTAGGGAGAAAAATGCTGATTCTCTCCGAGCTCCTCAAGGGGAAAAGCTGTCGGAGCAGCAGTGGGCCTCACCCATACCACCTCCCTCAAGCTGGCCCTTCCCCTCAACTGAACCAGGCCATGTTCACAGGGGCCAGTGAGCTGGCCTTGGATATGGGGTGAGGGCCCCAGGTCTCCTCCAGGCTCTGTGTGCTCCAGCCAGCACTGAGCCCAGCTGTCAGCACTCTCAGCCCTTCCCTCCAGGGCTCACCTCCCAGCTGCCCTGTCCACTTTGCCCAGGAGACCTTTGGCCTCCATAGGATGCATACTCTTGTCCATGCCCGGCCTGAGGAGGCAGCTGAGGCCTCAGCCCTGTGCCCAGGAGGTACCTGTGGGGGTGCCTCCCCCTGTGCATGTGGTTGGGGTATATACGAGCTGGGTGTCTCAAGGATGGGTGCTAGGGGAATGGAAAAGGGAGATCCTCCTGTGTGGTACTGCTACCAGCTGTGGTTTGAGGCCACTATGCCACTGCCCAGACACAGAGGTAGAGGTGTGACAGGCAAGGGACAGAGGGGACAGGGGCTCCCATCTCCAGCCCAGGGAAAACCGCAAGAGTCTGGAGAAGAGAGCCTGATGGCCAGGTGACACTCACCTTATCCTTGGATACATGGTGGGAGAAGGGGCAGGTCCCATCTGTCTTCTTGCACGTTCCCCGGACAAACCTGCAGTCCAGGACACAAGGGTGTGAGGAGGGCTGCTAGGATAGGGTCAGCCCCTCCCTCACCCCCTAAAAATCATGCAGCAAGGCTGGGTGGGGCACCTGGTGCACACAGCAACCTTCTCAGGGTCGTGGATGTATGGGCAGTGCTCGCCGCGGTTACACCTTCCAAAGCGGTTATAGTACATACAGTACTCCTTTTTCTTCTCCTTTTTCTGCCTAGCTTGCCGGATGATGGCCAGGCTGCGCTGAACAGCCCGGCTGCAGACAGGAAAAAGCACGTGAGCCTAAGGATGAGCAGGGAGCAACCCCATGCCCAATCCCTGGGGACGCACCTGGCCAAGGAGCGGCTGCAGTTGCTGGCAGGGTCCAATCGGCCTACAGCAGAAAAAGGTGGGGTCACATCAGGCCAAAGCCTACTATAAAATCCTGCCCACCTTCCTCTGCACCCGGAGCTAAGCCTCACTTCCTCTCTCCCCACCTACCTACCTGGCAAAGCCCCCTTGGGGTCCCCAACCCTCTGCTCATCACTGCTGCCTCCTTTGGGGCATAGCTCCACCCTTCCCTATATGAACACAACATGCTGGGCCCTGGCTCTGACTCTGCCCAAGGGTAGGGTGGTGCAGGATTCCTGCCATGCCCTCTGAGTCAATATGCCAGAAGGACTGAGGTAGCCAGCTGGCTCCTACTGCCTTCAGCTAGTTGGGCTCCCCAATCCCACACCGGGTGCTGGCTGGACCTCCCTGCCTGCTGGCTCCTGCTCCCCTTGGGTGCCCATTTGGGCAATCTCAGATGGCTCATGAGGCAGTGATCGGCCAGTGGATGTCTCTCTAGGCTCTGTCCTCAGCCTGGCCACCCAAGAAGATCCCATGCAAATGGGGGTGGCGCCTCCCTTTATTCTAGAGCCTGGAAGTGGGACCAGAGAGGGAATGGGACTGGAGGGGTTGCTTAGACCAGAATGGCAAATATGAGCCACATATGAACTGGCTTTGTAGGAAGAAGGGTTTTAATACTTTTAAAGGACTATAAAATGAAATCAAAAGAAAACTACGCAACAGAGAAGAGTGTGGTGGCAAAGCCTAAAATGCTGACTGGTTCTGAGTGGTGCCTTGTGGACATGGGGTCTGCCCAGGCCTGGCTAATACTTGTTACTTAGTTTTAGAAGTACCTTATCAGATGGGCCTCACAACCCCAAGCACAAGGACCAGCCTAACCTTTCTGAGGTCACTAATGTGGCATGAAGAGGAAAGCAACAACAGGAACGGCTTCCCAAGAGCTAGGGCCCATGTGGCAGGGGCAGGCACCTGCAGGGAGGGCCTAAGGCCCACGCTCACCTCACAGCTGCCTTTTTCTTGTGACAGCTAGAAACTGAACCTAGGGTCTCAAACGTACATGCTAGGCAGCGCTCTACTACTAAACTATATCCCCAACCCTTATTCATTCTATCTTGAGATAAGGTCTAAGTTGCTCATAAGCTGGCCTCAAACTCTTGATCACCCAGCCTCAGCTTCCCAACTAGATGGAATCACAGGCATGTGCCACTGTGCCTGGCCAGCTACCTGCCTTTTAAAGGCACAGGCCACCCCTGGGCTTTTGGGCCGAGTAGGGCAGGGCCTGCTCAAGCCTGCTTCCCCAAGTTCCTCAAATACAGATGACCTTCCCAGACCAGGTCCAATTTCCTACACAGCAGCTGCTGAAATGAATACGGTGCCAGGAGGCAAAAGTGACATCACTCAGAAATTCTGAGGACCTGAGGTGATGACAAAGCCATCCAGGTTTAAAAAAGGGATATTCCAAAGTGCTTGGCCCCACAGACCACACAGTCTCTGCATCTCTGTCTGTGCATGGCTGTGAGTCTGGGCTGCTGCTCTAGGGAAACTCCCCTAGATCACTGTCCCCAGGGGATCTGTTCACTGTCCCCACTGGCCCTTACTCCCCAGGTCCTGCACAGTCCATGGCCTGTCCAGACACTAACCCCTTCCAGTCCCGCAAACTGGAAGCTCAGACCTTTCTCTTTCAATACCTAGTAGCTCTGAGCTCCTCATACCCTCCCCAGGGAGGGCCGGGCAGTGCCGCCACATGCTGGCACCTCAGGGCTACAGGATCCAACACAAGACCAGGAGCTGCCTATTGTCCTGAGTTGCAGAAGATACCACAAGGCTTTGCTGGGCAAGCTGGGAGGCCAGACACTGCCCTGCTGGAGTTCCTTGGGGCCCTCTGGTCAGCAGCTACCCCCACTCTGCCTCAGTGTCCTCAAGATCAAAAAGAGCACCTCCAGGGCTGAGCAGTGAGAATCTCTGTGGAAGGGAAGCACTCACTGTTGGGCAGCTGAACCCTGTGCCCCTAGTCAGGCATAGGGGCTAGCCAGGCTGATAATGGTACTCTGGGGTAGGGATGGGGGACTGAGGGCACAAGCAGGGACATGGGAACGGGGTGGAGGGGTCAACAAGAGAGAAGGAAGAGTGACAAGGATCTAGGAGGGACAAGAAGGAGGGCCTAACACGGCTTCTGTTCTTGCTGGGGACACCTGTCCACAGGGTGGCAGTGGAGCCCTGTCCAGGTGGCATGGATGCACCCCTGCACCTGCCAGCCTTCACTGCAAGTAACATGCAATTTGATAACCTGTCAATGAGCGCTGGTTCCTGGGCTGTCACCCAGGCTGCCAGTGACACTGGCACCATCTGCTCTAGTTCAGGGACACACTGGCATCATGTGCTGCCTATCAGGACCTGAGGAGGATGGTTTTCTCCTCTTTCCACTTTCTGCTTTTAAAAACATGCCAGTATGGGGCTCACGGTGGGAGTTTTGACAAGAACTAGAGGCACCTTTCCAAATGCTTTGCAGTGTTAAAAATGCACATAAAGTAGCTGGCTTGGAAGCGGGGAGGGAGGTGCAAAGAGCTAGACAATTCAACCTATCAATCCAACCTCGGAGCACAAGGTGCTGCCTCTGCTGCACTTCTGGAGAACTTTCACTTACCGAGTACTTCCCAAAATAGATGCTGGCTCTCTCCAGCCCCACCCTCTTCATTGTGCTCCCGTATGTTCCCTGTCCAGTGGTCCTCCAAGGACAACTTGGGGAAAACACTTTATCTCCTTCACAAGTCAGAGCTTTCTCAGCCCCTGGTTCTTGCTTTGGTCTACCTGGCACCAGCATGTCCCTGCCTAGGGAGTCGGAGGAGGGGCCATCTCAGCTGAGAGCCCACTAGGCCCTGCCAGGGGATAGTACATATGATCTTACCCTAACCAAGATGGCAGAGGGAGCCCCAGGGAGAGGCACCCAGGGGTGGGGCCTCAGTGGCCCAGTGGCTCTGGCTCTGGATTATGAGCTGATAGGGCCTCCCTCATGTGCTCTTCTGTGTGACCTTATGGCACCTAGGAAGGGGAGCCTAGAGACCAGACTCACACAGGAAAATTTGGTAGCTGGTCAGTGGCAGGGACATATATGCCTTACTCAGCTCTGGGGCCCTGGGGACTCAACTCGGAACAATCCCAGAACTAGCCCTGCAACCAGGGACTAGGGCAGGCAACTCTGCTGGCAGACTTGGGACTCCTGACCATCACAGAAACTGGCAGGCCAGCAGGGTGAAGACACAAGTCCCAGGCCAAAGGATGTGGGAGGGCTGGGGATTTAGCTCAGTGGTTCTGTCGCCTGCCTTGCAAGCGCAAGGTTCCGAGTTCTATCTCCAGTACCAAAAAAAAAATCTGGGCCAGGGATTTAGCTCAGTGGTGCCGCCGCCTGCCTTGCAAGTGCAAGGTCCTGAGTTCGATCCCCGGTACAAAAAAAAACCCCAAAAAACAAAAGATGTGGGGAAGGGTCCATGGGGATGCTCTGAACAGCAGGTAGACCTGGGAGGGAGGGGCTTAGTTTCAGGGCTGCTGACTTTGTTCCCAAAGGTGTGGAAGAGTAGCCAAAAGAAGGGGTAGAGCTCCGCTCCTCCCAAGGTAGGCTTCACTCTCTTATGGAAGTCAAAGTTCCGCTGACACGAGGGGAGGAAATTTATTTCTTTAATTATAATTCATCTAAGCAGTCCAGTCAGCAGCTCCCACAGCTGGGAGTAATCCACCTTCCTCAGAGCAAGGTATGGCTACACAGGAGGTCTGGGCAGCTGGAGCCGGGTCCATTCAGCTCGCAAACTGGCTTCCCTTGACCACCATGCCCCAGGAAGGCTCTGTACCTGACCACATGGCCCACATCTCCTCCCTGAGAAAGGAAAGATCAAGCCTCACTGAAGGATCAAATCCCACAGTGGCTGCCAGAGCTGGTATGGCAACAGTGAGGAGGCATCAGGATCCCTGCCACTTTCTTTGGGCAAGTATATACAGCCGGGGCTGGGTAGAGGTAGGCTCCAGATGGTTGCCCCTAAAGAGGTGTGAGGTACCTGAAGGAGCTGAGGATTGGCTCTCACCCAGCTCAAGGTCAAGGGAGGGGGTGAGGTGGGGGCCAGTGGGCAAGGGATGGACAGTCCATAGTGTGATGGTGTCAGGAGCTCTGTATCTTCCAGGTTCTGTCACATGTGCAAACAGAAAGACAGATTCTGCAAAGCTCAGCACTGGGCTCCAGGTGTCCTAGTACCAGAAGCCAGTTTCCCAAGGAGGAGTGACAGCCCAGCCTGCCCTGCTCGCTTACAGCCTCAGAGCAGCAGTGTGACTCTCCCCCGCCATCCCCCAGTGGAGGGCACTACATCAGTAAAGAGATCAAGTCCAAACTGCCACCCGCCCTGTTGGCCTTGCGTCTCTCACTCCATCTCTTGTGGACACAAGGGCATGTGAGGAGCTGGGGTAGTGGGCACAGCCCCAACCCATAGGCTCACCCAGCCCAGCAGGACCTAGCAACAGAAGGAGGATAAAGGGGTGTGAGGACAGGACCTCCTGCAATCCCACCACCACCTACAATCTTGCCCTTTTTTTTCCCCCTATGGACAAGGAAGGGGATAAAATTGGACTGAAACCAAAATATTTTTCTAGGTAATTTGTACAATAAGCGCATCCAAGGCATTTCCTTCTCCTTGGCCTGTTTCCCGGGTTGCGCAGGCCTGTGGTGGTGGCAGCAACTGCCTCTAGACACAGTTGTCGAGGCATCACCAATGTGATTAGGGCACCACGGTCTCAGGTGTTCGTTTGCCCGGGCATGTTTGCCATACCTGGCTCATCCTTTGTCCAGAAGCAAAACATAGGGGGCTGTTCAGCCAAGCGAGAGGTAGGTGTCAGGTGGGCCTTCCCAGGGGATGGTGGGGAGAAGGCCTCCCAGCACCCTCCCTGCTCTGGCTCCCTTGTCGGCCTCAATAGGGATTGCTACCAAGGCTCTGTGTGTATCCAAGAGTAAAATCAATTCCCTGACTGGGATGTGGCCCACTGGCAAGCACTCTATTGACTCCCTGGAAGTCTCAGGCCCCTGACCTTGTCCATTTGTCCCCTTCCTAGAGGAAAGCCTGGAGCCAAGGCCCAGAGAAGCCTTAATTCAAGACTTGCCATGCCCTGCCACACACTCTCCAGGGCCCCACCTCACCTGAGCGGAGAAGGGCTCTGCTGCCCCCATCACCCAGCCGGCTGGATGTCTTGGAGAGCTTGTTGGCTGACACCTTGTAGAGGACCCCTCCGATACAGCGGTAGCCTTTGCTCCGCCACCGAGGGGAGCCAGGAGGTGCTTTGCCACCCCCAGTGACAACTGGTCGCAGGCGGTTCAGCACCAGAGACCTGCAGAGACAGAAAAATGCCCATCAAAAATGGCCCAGGATGAGCACCAGGTGCAGAACCCACTACCTGGGATATAAAGTAGCCAAGATAGTCACTGGCTATCAGTACAGCCACGAGATCTCTGTTCCCTGCCCCCTTGCAGGGGAACCAAAGAATGTGACATGAAGTCCTAGAATGAGGCATCATCCAAACCAGCTAGGAACTCATGTGCTTACAAAGGGGCCATAGGGAGGGGACAGTCTCCTTTAACATGTACCTTTCATTTGGACACAATCAGCCTGGACTAGTGCTGGCAATGCCCTCCCAGGGATGGCTTCCTTGGACTGCAGGGGTGTGATGTGCCCTGGGCACAGCCAAAGTGGGAAGTAAAGGCAGCTAACCCAGGCCTGGCACAGGCCAGGATCCTCTCTTTGGATCCTCCAGTGTGCCCCTTTTGGCCTTTACATCCCTGCCGCCCACCCAGGCCTAGCACTAGGACCCCCAGATCCGCCTGCAGTTGGCTGCCCAATGCCACAGACAGGTGCCCTCAGATCTGAGCTGCCCAGAAAACAGTAGGTAGGGGCTCACTCCCTTGGCTGGAGAAGGTACCTACAGCACTGCCCATCATAGCCAGCCCTGCCACCCAGGGCAAGCCACCCAGAAAGGGGGTTTGCGGAATAGCAGCCCTGCTCATGGGGTCAGCTGCTCTCCCCAGCACTCAGCACCACAGCCCCTCTGGGCCTCAGTCTCCACCTGCAAGTTGAGGTAACTCCTCAGCCAGTGGCCTCTGAGGGGCCATTAGTGAGATAATGCGAGCAAAGTGAGCTGGTCACTCAGGGGACTAAAGCTGCAGTGTAAGTACAAACAGCGGCAGGGCAGCCACAGAAGGCACTTAACCCAGTTTTCCTTAATTAAAATTCAAGCTCACGAACACTAATCATACAGGGAAAGAGTCCTGCCAAGGGGCCAGCTATAGTGAGCTGTCTCCCTGTCCCTTGGCCCCACCTACTGCACACTCCAGCAGCCCTTATGGAGCATCCTGCTGGACCCAAGCCTTTCCAGAGGAATTCAGTCAGGCTCAGGGCTCCAGGCTTTCACCTGGACTTGAGACCTGCTCTGTACCCGCAGCCTGCACTGGGACCAGGCTACCGTGTGAGGAGGGGCCAGGCTATGAGAGGTATTTTTTCGTACCAGCCCCTCAGAACCTTGTCAGTCCTGTAGGCTCAGAGATGGTCTGCATACTCCATGAGAGCTAAGGCCAAGGCACAAGAGACACCCAGCTTGAACCCAAACCACAGTCAAGAAGTAGGATCTGGGGCCGGGGATTTAGCTCAGTGGTTCTGCAGCCTGCCTCGCAAGCACGAGGTCCCGAGTTCGATCCCTGGTACCAAAGGAAAAAAAAAAAAAAAAGAAGTAGGATCAGGACAGTGGGCTCTTCAGCTTACTCGGCCTGACCAATAGGCTCCTGGGTCTGCCCCAGCCTGGCAGCCAGAGCCTGCCCTCAGGGCAACTGGCCTGTGCAGCCAGCGTAGGCTAGAGCAGTGCTGGGAGGTGAGGTGCCCAGCCCTGTCTCTGCCTCACGAGGCTCTGCCTGGACCCCAAGCAGACCTTGCCCTCACAACATCTGTCCCGAGTGCCCCACCTCTGCTCACAGCACAGCGGAGTCAGTCCCCAGCTTCCAGGAAGCAGTGAGGGATAGCAAGTGGCAGACTGGTGCCTAACTGCTGTCCTGGGTCTACCCCTGCAAGAGCTCACCTATGGGGGTATGCTCTGATGGAGGATCCTCTCTAAGACTTCCTCCAAAGGTGTCCTGAGGGGCTGATAAATGCATCAAAGGGGCAGAGCTTGTTCCCTGCCATCCCTCCACAATGCAACCACAGAGACAAAGCAGGGGCTTAAAGCAATGTGATGTGGGTATGGGACCAGCAGGCCCTCCTGCCAGAACTGCAGAGTACCTCCACTTCTGTGAAGTTGCCACCCATGAAGTCTGTAGCCCTTGGTTCTGTGCTTGAGGAAACTCAGGCTGGAGCTAGCAAAGGATCCAGAAGTCAGCAAGGGCTCAGGCTGAGTCGAGCAAACACATCCACTGCCTATAATTGCACGTGGAGAAGCCAGCTTCATTAAGGACTGATTGTTACAACTGCTCTATACAGCTAGAAGGCTCCTGCTACACTTCTTCCCCAGAAAGTCTTGGTTGTTCCACATGTTTATTCTTATGGATGATCATGAACAATCAATTTGCTTCCTTTACTCTTCCTAAAAAACTCAGAATTTTAATAGCAGATATGGGACATCTGTGGCTCTACTTGAACAGGAGGTGTGGCAGTCCCTCTGCTGATGTCCCAGGTGTGCATACACACATGCCTATGGACCCCCAGGCTGGGGAGCAGCCTCAGGGCCTAAGGCCTCCAGAGAATGGGGACAAGCATTGCCCACTGTTTCGCTTACCCAGGAGCCTGGAAGACTTGTGCAGCATCCACATTTGGAATGCTGACTGGGGGAGAACTTGGGGAGGTCTGGCCAGAAAGTCTGGGCCCGACCAGGTAAGAGAAAGGACCCATCTTGAGATTACCCACCTGCCCCCTTCCCTTGCTACCCTCTGCTGGGCCCTGCTGGCTTTGGAACTTGAAGCAGAAGGGCACCAGGTGGGGCCTTGTAGCATTTTGCTGCCATGGGTGTCACAGCACTCCAGTAAATTGTTACCCTAATGGAGAGGACAGCCTTTGGAAACGAACTGTACAGAGAAGAAGGGATAAAATTAATGAGATAATAGCAGGGCCAAGGACCCTGCGTGCGCCTGCCCTTACAGCACGGCTCTGTAATTCCTTTTCTGCAACGGGAGCCGCAGATCTAAAGGCTTCTCCCATCCGTCCGGTGGGCCCATGCCGCCAGGAAATTTCATTAACGCTGGAAAATAGGAAAGGTATTAAGCGTGGATAATGAAGGCCAGGGAGGGAACAGTGCCTTAAGATAGTCTTCTTTCTCGCCTTTGTAATGGGAGGCATGAACTTTCCCTTCAAATCCATTTCTAATCCATTTGAAATACTACAGCAAATTATCTTTCCTTCAGCCCGAAAGCGGCCAGCCAATTTACTCCGAATAGAAGTGACAATGCCCCAGGATTTATCACCATAACCTTGACTACACCAGGGTGAGGCTGGGCCTCCCCTCTCCCCCTGGGGGGGCACGAAGGACGGGTGGGGGGAGATAACATTTTAAATGAGAAGCAGTGGTGATGGGGAGAAAGATGGACACACCACAAAAGGAGGTTCATTTAAAAAAAAACCTGTGCATTCATTCACTACGTTGGCAGCAGCAGAAACTTCCAGGCCAGGGATTGTCCAGAGGGGCATCAGGAGCACTCACATGGCTGAGCTTGCCTCTTTCCTACTTTTGAGGGGTCTGGGTATGACAGAGGGAGGCTGTCTCCGAGGCTCTTATGTTTTTCTGAGATCCCCAGGGTTGCATGGAGCAGGTCTGCCACATTGGCTGGACATTCAAGTGCCAGACTCCCCACATCCTCTAAGGCTACCTTGGTCTGGGCCACCACTGCCAACTGGCTTGCACTGAAGTTTAAAAGCTAACTCTAGACACCATGATCTTCCCCTCCCTGAGGTGCTGCCAGGGTAAAGTCAGTACAGACCCAACGTGTGGGCCATGCTGAGATGCAGACTCCTGGGTAGGGTCTCACATGAAGCCACACTCCCCTCAGCCCCACCATATACCTTACACTTACACACATACCACCACCACCACCACCACCACCACCACCACCACCACCACCACCACCACAAGGCTGGGACTCCTGGGCCACAGGTATGCATGTGCAAATAATAGAACCTGCACACTCCAGTGTATACGTACTCACGCATACACACAATGGCAAACACTGTCTGTCCCTGAGTGGAAGCCTCAGCACTTGTGTCATTAGCAGCAGCCACCCACGGCTCAGCAGGTGGACATCTGACAGAAGAGGGATCCTCCTGAGGGGTGCCTGTGAGCCATTCTGCAAACACAGCCCTCCAGGAAGATGAGCCCTCTGCACCTAAGAAGTCTGGTGCCATTCTTGGCCCTGTGATTTCTGCATGTATGAGACTTGGCCACAGAACTGACCCAAAAGGGTGACATATCCTTCTCCTGGAGATCAGCAGGTAGTGAGGGGAATGGGGGCCCTCCAGGACACATAGGGCAGGGCACAATCAGATAAGACCTGAGTGGCCTAGCCATGGTCAGAGAACTTTCAAACTCGAAAGCTGTATCCCAGGATTGCTACATTCAATGAGACCTTTGAATAAACACCACCTGAGGTCAGCTAGATACAGCTCCTTTCAGGACAGGTCTGGGTCTACAAACAGGCTCAGAGGCAGAGACTAGAGGCTGAATGAGTCTGTCACAGAGGGCAGAGGCAGGTCACTCAGGACCTGGTACAAGGAAGAGAGTACATTACAGAGCAGAGGACCATGGGGCTCTTGAGAGGCAGACTTGGGATCTCAAGCTCATTTCCTTCCCAAGCACAAGGCAACATAGAGTACAGCAGGAAGGAAGATTTGTCCCTCCCAGGAGCCCCTAGGACCCTTCTGTACCTCCCACCCCTGCTTTGGGTCTTCCCACTATTACCCATCACACTCAAATCCTATCTGTTAAAAAAAGAAACAAACAAAACCCCGTGCTTATTCTCCTCCCCTCCCTGCCAAGTTCTAGGTCTACACTCGCTGACTACACATATCCCCATCCTATACCCTTCTCCCTCACAGGCTGCCCTCCCTCTCTGGGACCCTACATCTGACTCTGGCTGAGGGCCCCTCACACAGGCCTCGCCGCCCCATTCCAGTCCAGGCCACCACTACCCTCTGCTGACATCTGGGGACCAACCCACTCTCTCTGACATATAAGCTGGGGTCACTTCAACCACCCTGCCATAACCATGGGTCTGGAACTGCACATTCGATCAAGTCTTCCTGCAGGAGGTCCTCTTGGTCTCATGATGACCATGTCACAAGGCCCTATGAGCTGGGCTGGGA